TAACCTTGGTAGGCTAGAAGAGTAAACCCCATATATAAGCTTTAGGTAGAGTTCCCTTAACTTGGCTTATATATAAATAAGTTGAGGGGTTAAGCTACAAACCCAAAATGGTCTGTTCTCCATTTATTTGTAAAACTATATTAGTCACAGACTACTTGTATATTTACCGTAATTAAAACTGTAAGCTGTGAGTGTTAGTTAAGGACGGGGGATCAGCTTGACTGAGTTAGGTCACCCGTCCGATTCTCGTGAGACTCAAATCAAGACTGGTGCCTGTGAGGGGAGGCTCTGCAGGCGAGGCTGGGCTGACCCTACATGCTCAAGGTCGGCTTACTGATAGAGGAATTTCCCTTCACATGAGCAGCACATGGCACCTTACAGTTTATAAATTACAGTAGAGTGATTGGATTATATTAATTATATGTATTAACCCAAATTTATATACCGGTGGGTAATTGTTATTGCCATGAGACAGGGGCTAATACACCCAAACGAAAAATCTGCTGTGGAGCCCCGCATCAGGCAGACAGGCTTACAGAGATCGAAGAAGACCCCAATGGCGGTATAGGCGGAAGAGGTGACTACCATGGGAACCCAAAGACTACACCAGAGGACGAAGGCAATGCTTGATGGACACGCTACTAAGGCGAAACCCAACAAATGTGGCTATCGGCAGTCTATTGTAACTCTCCCTCTCCCCAGTTGTTGCAACACTTGTACCACTGGATCTGGAAAAGGGAGAGCCAAGATGAATGGTTGCAGCCTGCGCTGCTGCCTCACCACATAAATTAACTCACACGCACCATCATCCAGCTGATCATACTTCTCATCATCATCAAAACTACTATTCCCCAAAAAGTCCTATGGCAATCGACGAGTGGCGATGGGAACAGGCAGAGATGACTGCCGGGAGTCTCTAGTCACAACTCTGCACATGGACGGCACAGATAAGATGGTCGTTCATGCACCGGAATCTAGGCAGCAGTGCAATCCGGTCCTGTTTTTGCGACTGAGCAGCCCTTTCGAGGAACCACTCTGCTCACCCTACATGGGGAGGGGCTAGAAAAGGTGCCCTAAACATAGCCTGCCTAAGAAACCAACCTGACTGAGCAAACGCACCCAGTAGAGGTCATCCTTATGCGGGTGAAATTACAGTAAAAATCACAAATGAAAAAAAAGAAAACTATACAACCTCTTATGGCTGCCCTTGTGGCAAAAGAGCTGGCTAGGTATAACATCGACATAGCAGCCATTAGTGCGTCCCGGCTCCCAGACGAGGGTCAACTCAAAGAACGCGGGACTGGCTAAACCTACTTCTGGAAGGGTAAGCCTTCTGAGGAGAGAAACCTCATTTATGGAGTTGGCTTTGCCATCCGCCAACGCATCCGACACAGGCTAACTGAAATGCCTATTGGAATCAACGAGCACCTAATGACTCTTCGAGTCCAACTAAATCACTTACATCATGCCTTTTTCATCAGTGCATACGCCCTAAAACTGGCTGCAGAGGATGACATCAAGAAGGCCTTTTATATCGACCTAGACAAAGTACTAACCTCTATCCCCAGAGAAGATAAGGTTGTGCTCCTAGGTCACTTCAATGCCAGAGTTGGCAGCTATACTGACATTTGGCAGGGAACCATAGGGGGAAATGGACTAGGCAAGTGTAATCCCAATGCTCTAATCCTACTTAGCAAGTGTGCTGCACACAACCACACTATCATCAATATCTTGCTCAGGCAGGCTGACAATTTCAAGGACTCGTGGCAGCTCCCAAGATCTAAACACTGGCATGTCATTGACTACAACATTGTTGGAGAGAGAGATCGCGGAGATATCCTCATCACCTGTGCCATGCGTGGCTCAGACCACTGGGACACTGATCATCGGCTCGTCAGAGCCAAGCTCTCACTTCACGTCGCCCGAAAACGGCGAAGGCAACAAGCCTCCAGAAAAGGTTTTAACTCTAAACGTCTGGAGGATACAGCGGTACCACATGTTTTCAAAGATCAGCTCGAACATGGGCTGATAAACAACCCGACAACAAACAACCGAAATCCCAGTGCCGAATGGGATATTCTCGACACTGTCATTATAAACACCTGCAGTAAGACCCTCGGACAGATCGAAAGAATACACCAGGATTGATTTGATGAAAATGACCTGGTAATCAATGCACTCGTCGATGTTCAGCGTGCTGCTTTAACTGACTGGTAGAACACCCCTCAGTCTCGGACCAAAGCTGATACCTTCTGCAAAAAGAAAGAGGAGGCCCAGCGGAAACTTAACAATCTAAAGAACGACTGGTTTAAAATAAAGCATGTGAAACACAAAAAAAATTGCAGATCAGCACAAAATGCGCGAATTTTTAAATTCCACTAAAGAATTTTATGGGCCAATCACTCGTGGAATAGCCCCCCCCCCCTCCCCGCCCTCCGCTCATCCGATGGTAACTCCATAATTAAAGATGATGAAGGCATCCTTCAGCGCTGGAAAGAGCACTGCCATTCATTGCTCAGCCAAAACACCGATGTGGATGTCCTGACTACCCAGCAGTTCATTCAGCATCCAAAGCTGATCCACCTCAGCTATCCTCCACACTGCCAGCAAACAAATGAAAAAACCCAAAGCCTCAGGCCTGATTGAATCCAAGCCGAGGTGTATAGAGCAGGAGGACCTATGCTTACCAGCTGTCTCCACTCTCTCCTGGAGAATATATGGGAAATGGAGGAAATCGCCCAAGCTCTGAAATATGTCTCCGTCGTTAATATTTATAAAAACAAAAGAGTCCGGTCAGACTGTGGCAACTACAGCAGGATCTCACTGCTATCCATAGCTACCAACATTATCGCCCGAGTCCTGTTAAACAGACTTCTTCCTGGTCATAAGAGTGCAGAGGTCTTATTGCAACTATATTTTGCGCTAGTCAGGCTGCACCTCGATTATGCTGTTCAGTTCTGGTGCCCTTATTATAGAATGGATATCAATTCACTGGAGTCGGTGCAGCGAAGAATGACGAAAATGATTCCGGGACTTAGAAACCTTCCATATCAGGATAGGTTAAAGAAACTAAACTTGCATTCCCTAGAAAGACGAAGAGTGCGGGGAGATATGATAGACGTATTTAAGTGGGTGAAATGAATCAATAAGGGCGATATAGAGAAAGTTCTTATAATATCCGAGTATGATAGGACTCGTAACAACGGATTTAAGTTGGATAAGTTTAGGTTTAGGAGGGAGATAGGAAGGAACTGGTTCACAAATAGGGTGGTGGACGAGTGGAACAAGCTTAGCAACTTTGTAGTAAGTGCTGGAACGCTGGAGAGTTTTAAAAGGAGGCTAGATAGATTCATGGATGATAGAGAGTGGTAGTAACTCTGGACAGGAGCTGCCATGCACAGGCCAACCGGCCTATTGCAGACTTCTTATGTTCTATATATATATATATATATATATATATATATATATATATATATATATATATATATATATATATATATATATATATATATATATATATATATTTGTGTGTGTGTGTGTGTGTATATATAATGTAAAATAGTTAAATGGATGTCCCTATAGGTTGTTTCATTGTAGTTTCTCATGCGCCAAGATTAATGTTAAAATTATTCTGGTGGGTGTGTCTCATACGTAAGAAAAATTCTTGAAACCGAAGGATAAATACACGTATTTACAGACTACTTCACTCATCTTCTTTTAAATGCGATGTAACATTAACATACTAATTAAGAGAATATTATGATGGATTTGCTTCATAAATGAGAAAAAAGACTGATTGTAAATTGAAAATATCGTAAGGTGGACATGACGATAAACTGTTTCACTGTCCGTGCTAATACAATATTAACATTACTTTTGGGTTAAGTAGGATATAAATTTTGGTGGGTTGAACAGCAGAAAAACACCGAAATCATAATGCGGCCCATGTCTGAGGAAAGGTTGCTCATGCCTGATCTAAACAATGGTTTACCATTTGCTTAGCCATTTCTTTCCAGTCAGAAGGATAACTTATCTAGTTCTGTCACACAGTAAAAATTTTATTTTAGGAATATATAAATTAAGTTTTTGGTATAAATTTACGTAAAATCAATTCAACACCATTACACGGTTAACACTACTGTACTTGCTCTTAGCACGCTCCACCCAGAGTGCCACATACTTGTTTCTGAAGCCAGACATACATGCATGCCTTGCTGACGATAGTATCAGGAAAAAACTGATGTGAATCCCCTTTCACATAGACCTAAGTGAACACGACAGGGTTGATGCCCGAGCTAAACTTGCTTCTAACAATGACACTATTGAATATAATCTGGGTCTGGCAAACAAACCCTAACAACTGCAACCAAGAAAGAACTTGCTGACGAATTTAAAGCAAAAAGCCAAGGACAAACAAGCACTAATCAATACATTGTTTACCATGATCAGATTTATCAAATAAAACATATGTATGGAGCAAGTGACAAGATTAGTAAAACTCAAGATAATGTAACCCCTAGACTAAGGCCACGATATATGTATTGTACCTCTGGGAGAATGGCCTTCATACAGATGTGAACAAGACAAAATATAAAGTGCGCGACTAGACATATGGCCACACGCTTTAACACTGTATCCTAGATCGTGAGTAAATAGAACCTTTCAGGATCAGGTGCAATGACACAACACTTCATCTCTGATGGCAAGATAGCTGATATTTTAAAAGGATATTCACATTTTGCACCTGATAAACAATATAACTCCTATGTACATAACTAAACAAACAATGGACTAGAAATAACCTGTAACATTCAACACCATAATAGCCTGACCACGGGCGTCTGCTAAACATCCTTTGTGACCTCTTCTCTGTAATCCTTATTGTGCGCAGTAAACTTGCTACCCGGGACAAAATTCAAAATTCATTCACATACACTGATCACAGGACGTATCACAATAGGTATAACACACACACACACACACACACACAGAGGACGTACTGGGGTATATCGTGGGTGAGGGCGTGCATGTCACGCTTGGTACAACAGTACTTGAAGTTGTCGGTGCCGCAGCAGTAGACTGGCTCCTCAGACTCCAGACTCGGACACGGGAACCCGTTGCTCCACTTGCCGAAGGTGTCGATGTAGCCCGAGCAGTAGTCCTCCCCCAGTACTGTGGAGATATAACAGGTGTGAGTAACCTATATAAGAAAGATACACAGGTGTGAGTAATCTAATTGGGAGAGACATATGTGAAAGAAACAAAGGTGTGAGTGATCAATGTGGGAGAAACACAGGTGTGAAGGGTCCCTCATGTAGTGAAACGCTACCCATTCACCACCCAGCCACCCCCTGTCCGTGTTAGATGACACAAATGTTACTGAAGATTGCCGCTGGGACCAATAACGATTTATATCATGTCAAGAAAGGAATAACCATGTGTCTTCCTACCAAGTGGTACAGGTATTGTCTATACGTTCTCAGAAGACCTCTGCAGGAACTTGAGGACCTTGGTGTATCCCACAACAAGGGTTTACAGGGTACATCCGTATAGTGGGTTGAACTAATACCACTGTGCCTTCTATGTGATAACATAGATTATGTCCTGTGTGATTGGTGAAAAAAAAAACCCAGTTATAACGAATATTTATACAGTTTGAAAGTACAGTCTTAGGTGGTTTTGCGTGAGAAAGGGTGTGTTTCCATTCTCTAACTGGCAGGTTTCAATACCCACGGGTGGATTTGACTGTTTATCTAACCGGTGAACATGTAATTTAATATTTGGTTCCTATTGAAATGTCAGTATGTTATTTCTGGTATAAAGTCAGATATAGAATTTTTTTACTTTGTATGACCCATTAATTGGATCTGTTTAAATAAAGCAGGTTATATACAGTTGGCCTTCCAATGAACCTCGGTCCAGTGACTACTATTGATATTCTCTCATTTTTACCCCTCCCCCCCTCTGTCACTCTGTCTTGCACTATCCCTCAATCACCTACCTAGTGAGGACCTTTCCTCAGTTGTGCTTCAACTTCTCATTAAGAGCTGGCCACCATCTCTCTCTCTCCTACATTTTTTTTACAGGGGGGGGAGGAGTAATCTATATAATGAGGAGATGTGATACACGTGGAGAGATACATAAGGGAGGAGTGATGCACGTGGAGAGACACATAAAGGGAGGAGTAATATACGTGGAGAGACACACAGGGGAGGAGTAATACAAGTGGAGAGACACAGAAGGCAGGAGTGATACACGTGGAGAGACACATAAAGGGAGGAGTAATATACGTGGAGAGACACATAGGGGAGGAGTAATACAAGTGGAGAGACACACAGGGAAGGAGTGATGCGCATGGTGAGTCACATAGGTGGGTGATACACGTGGAGAGACACATGAGGGAGGAGTGATACACGTGGAGAGACACATAAAGGGAGGAGTAATATACGTGGAGAGACACACAGGGGAGGAGTAATACACGTGGAGAGACACAGAAGGCAGGAGTGATACACGTGGAGAGACACATAAAGGGAGGAGTAATATACGTAGAGAGACACATAGGGGAGGAGTGATGCACATGGAGAGACACATAGGGGGGGGTGATACACGTGGAGAGACACATTGGGGAAGAGTAATACACGTGGAGAAAACAAAAAGGGAGCGAGATTCACATGAACACACACATAGAGGAGTGCTACATGTGGAGAGAAACACAGGGAGAAGTGATACGCGTGGAGTGACACATAGGGAAGGAGTGGTACACGGGGCACTTATAGGGGGAGGATACATGTCGAAAGACACACAGAAGAGGAGTGATACACATGGAAAGACAGTTGTGTGCCAACAGTGTTCTTTTTCATTTTCTTATTTGAACAGCGATTCCTTTAACTTTGCATAACTTTCCTCAGGATCACAACTTACAATTTTGTTCATGAGTGGAACTTACAGTTAACTTTCTTACCTAATCTTAATCTCGGAGTATCTTAAGAGTTCTGTATTCATTTTTTTTACCGTAAAGTCTACCCCGTGACATTCCTAATGTTCCATATTTGATTGTCGACTTGCAATTTATCAGGGTTGGGTTTAAGAAAATATTTGTATCTGCCAATATGTAATAAAGCCACCAATTTTTGAAAAATAAGTGACCATATACGGACTAAGCCATTCTTCATTGAGGCTCACTCATACAATATTATATTTTTATTACAAAACTACTATGAGACTTAGGATATAGAATTAACATTTGAACCTTCTCATAATATATTCGGTCTTAATACATGGGTTCTGTAAAGGACTGCTCACTCTATACTCAAACCAAACTATGGAATTGGTGTATGCTATTGTTTACTACACTCCCTGCCTGTTCAAGTTAGTCTCATCTAGTCTCAACTAGTCAAACTACTCTCAAATTGTGTGCTGACCTTGCTCTATTGTGTGCTGACCTCGCTAGAGGAAAGGACATGGCCGATTTAACTCCTCGGGATTGATTCTAGTAATTTGCCTACTATAGACGTTAGACTGATTGGGCAGTAGTTAGAGGATAGTGATCTATCCCCCTTCTTGAAAATTGATATTACATTCGCTATCCTCCAGGATTCTGGTACTACGCCTCTTTTTAAGGACATGTTAAACAACTTTGCTAAGGGCATACTAAGCTCTTCCTTACATTCCTATAAAACTCTGGCAAATATCTCATTGGGACCAGGTGACTTATTAGGCTTCAGTTTGTCTATTTGCTTATTTACGTCGTTACTAGTCACAACTATATCGCTTAATTTGTTTTCTTCACTGTCTCTGCATAGAGTCGGTGCCTCGGGTATCATGTTTAAATTTTTTGTGGTGAAAACTGTTGAAAAATATTTATTCAGATTATTGCTCATTTCTCCGTCGTTATCAGTTAGCTCGCCAGTATCTGAAAGTATTGGTCCAATCTTATCACGTGTTTTAGTTTGATACATTTGGTAGAATCCTTTGGGGTTTGTCTTCGCCTCCCTTGCTATCTTCAGTTCATTATTTCTCTTTCCTTTTCTTATCTCGGTCTTAACCCTACCAGCCAATACCTTTTTATACTCCCGGAGGTAAATTTCGCCACGATTTATCCTTATACCTATAGCCTTCCTTTGGCCAATAATGTTCTTTAAATAATTATTTATCCATTTAGGGTCATTGTTGGCTGATCTGAGTTTTTTGTATGGTATGTTCTGCCTTTGTGCATTAAGTAACTCATTATTTAATTTTTCGTGGAACTCGGCAATCTCAGATCTCGTTATCAGGTCTGTGTCATCTGTCAGGTTGACGCCCAAACGCGACACCCCCTCTCTCAGCTGCCTCTTTAAACTATCAGAGTTTGCCCTTCTGAAATCTGGGACTTAATGGAATCTTTCTTACGTCTGACCTGAAAATCTAACTGGAATCTAATTACTTTGTGATCGCTGTTTGCAAGTTCGTTCCCTACCTCTACATTGCTAATGAGGTTTTTTCTCTGTCCGACAGAACTAAATCGAGTATATTATTACCCCGAGTGGGTTCGGTTATATGTTGACTTAGGAAACAGTCCTGGATCGTTTCGAGGAAATCCTCTGATACTGAGTTACCCATAAGGTCAGTCCAATCTATTTGGGAAAGGTTAAAGTCGCCTACTATACAGACTTTGTTGTGTATGGAAGCCCTGTGCATTTCATCCCAGATAAGTCACTCATTAACTCTATCAAGATTGGGAGGTCTATATATTACTCCTATGATTAATTTTTCCCTACCGTCGATTAATTCTATCCAAATTGTTTCTGTATTCCGCTCAGTTTTTATTTCCTTATTTATTTCACACTTCAGATTATCCCTGACATAGATTCCTACTCCTCCTCCTTTCCTGGACAGCCTATCGGTATGAAGCAATTTGTAATCAGCAATTTGGTATTCGACAGGTAACTCACGTGAGTCTAGGTTGATCCATGTTTCAGTGAATGCTATTATATCAATTTTTTCGGTACATACCAAGGCCCGAATATCATGCATTTTGTTTCTCATACTTCTACTGTTCGCGAAGTAGACATTTAGGTTAGTTGTGTTCTGAGTCCTCCCTTTACCGAGTTTCGGTCTTAACTCGCTGTCTAATTTAGCTTTGTCATCATTCCTAACATTATTTCCCTGTAACCTTTTACTTTGTTTACCCGCTCCCACTGCAGTCTCCACCCCCGTGCCCATATGTTCCCCTAGTAGTTTAAAGACTTCGATATCTTTTGAAATGCCTCCTCTAGAGACCCAGCCAGGGTTGCCACCCCATCCCGAGACAGGTGCACCCCATCTCTAGCATAAAGGTCCCTTTTGCCGTAGAAGTTGTCCCAGTTATCAATGAATGGGACTGATATTGACTTGCAATATCTGTCAAGACGGTCGTTGACACCAACTGCCCTTGACAACCATTCACTGCCAACTCTCCTTCTAGGCAGGACACAGCATATGATAAGGATACCTCCCTTAGTCCTAATAGATCTATAGCTGCCTTGAACTTATCAAGAAGCTCCTCTCTCCTACACAGGCCAATATCATTGCCTCCTGCGCTGAGGCAGATAATGGGTTCGTTCCCATTACCAGACAAGATATTGTCCATCCTGTCAATTATATCCCCCATCCCAGCTCCTTGCAAACACACCCTCATCCTATTTTGGTTTTTACCACAAAAAGCCCTTTCCAAGTACCTTACCTGTGAGTTACCAACAATTAAAGTTTTTATACCTTCCTTGTCCGCCCTGTCCCTGACTGTACTAACTTCCAATTCGTCTATCAAGGGACTGAGCGAGTTGGTACACTTAGCTGTTGATGACGTTGTTGATGTATCCTTGGTGTGTTTTTTCATCACCAGCTTGGTCTTCCCTCTACTCACAACCTTCCACTCGCTTGACTTTTAGTCAGACACTGGCTTTCCTTGTCCCGCCCTTTCCTTCATCCTCTCCAACTCTTCCTTTAATTTCAGGTTCTTCAACATGGCCCTCTCTATTTCTTCCTTGGCCCTCTCCAATTCTTCCTTGGTTCTCTCCAGCTTGGCCAACAAACTCGAACACCCCAGACCACACATAGCACTGGCCATATATGATAATTATCCCTCGGGAGCTAACCCTGCCGTGACCTTTCCCCTAGTGAGGTCAGAACACATCTGCATGAGGTCAGAACACAAC